TAAGGAACAAGATAATCACATCCACCTTAGGCTGTGCGACCATCCGGGCTAAGACAGCTAGGGGATGCCCACAAGGGGGGTGTTCTCTCACCTTTACTGTGGATGACGCAAGTAGACAAACTCCTAAAAATGCAGGAACAAGAAGGGTTCTACTGTCTAGGCTAGGAGGAGGAGGTCGTCCTACCAGCAGTAAAGGGCCGCCGCCATACAGAGATTGTGATAGATCATATACACAGGTGCAAAAGGGAGGAGCTATTTATTAACCCCCACAAAACCATAATGATTCCATTCGCAAGGAAGAGGACAATAGGAAGCCTAAAAACTCCAAGTCTAAATGGGACCCTGATCCCATTTTCCAAGGAGGCCAAATACAGTAGACCAGCGGCTCACATGGAATCCACATTTGGCTAAAACCACCAGAGAATGGGTTTAAACCTCAAAATGACCCATTGGCTATACACCTCTGTTGTAAGACCAATGTTGACATATGGGTTCGTGATGTGGTGGACCAAGACTCTGCAGGCCAAAGCAATCAGGTTATTAAATGGTGCATAAAGACAAGCCTGTCTTAGTGTCCCTGGAGCCATGAGCGTTAAACCTCCCACCACTTCATATTTTAACCCAAGGAGAAGCGAGAGCAGCACCCCACAGGCTCGTTCATAAATGGACAACCATGTGCAAGGATAGGCCATGTAAATAAACAATGGAAACTGAGGGAGGAGATACAGGCAGATGCCATATTAGGCATGCCAATCGATGCCACTACTCCAAAACACAGTTTTATTCAAAAGTACAAGGTACTGGTACTAGAACAAGAAGAATGGGCCACCGGTAAAGGCAAACTCCTACTGTTTCAGTGACGGCTCTAAAACCAACAAAGGCATGGGACCTGGAGTCTTCGGGATAAATACAAAAACCTAGGTAAATATGCTACAGTTTTCCCATCTAAAACTATAGCAATTTGGAACACTTTGCCAGGGAAATAAAAAGGCTAGGAATACATTCCTGGAAGATAGCCATCTTCTCTGACAGCCAGGCAGCGCTAATGGCCTTAGCCTTATGTGAAGTTTTGGCAAAGATAACAAAAAGGTTGACATGTCGGCCAACATGGACTCTCTGGGTCCTGAACCCTACTGTGGCTTAGCATCCTGCTAGAAAAGAGGATACATCTTAAAATGGATCCTTAATGAATCCAAAACCTGGTGGAACAATACCACAGGTATGAGGCACACGATGAGATTCATAGAAGGACCATCTGCAAAACTTAAAAAAGAATTACTGGAAGGCAACCACAACCAAACCAAGATTCTGGTCTTTCAGGGCAATGCCACTTAAGAAATCTCATGCACAGACAGAAGAAACGCTGTGCTGATTCTGCCAGGAAGAAGAAGAGACCGCAGAACACATTTGATCTATGTAGGTGCAGGTTCTTGCAACTAGAACAAGAAAAACCGCAAGCATTATCCTACACTAATGAGCTGCTGGCAAAGCTATGGTGGCTGATTAACAACCTGAAGTTGGCCAAGGAGTTTTGAAAAACAGGGGAGCGCAATATATCAATAAATGCAAAGGGCCTAGTGGCCGCCTCTTTTATCCCTATCCCTTTCCGCTTCTTTATATTTTATATATGCATTTATTGTTTAATATGGTTTTCTGGGATTTACGTTGTAAGAGAGTTGAACAGTTCTTTTTATTTAATTCAGCAAAAATCGAATTGTGGGGTGAAGTTTAATTTCAAGCATTGGGAATTGGACCAGGTTGGTGTGTTGATTTTCGAGCCTGAAAGCCTTAATTGATAATAAAGTTTTAAAAGTTCTTGTTTACTGGTTGATTTTAAATAAGTGGAGGTAGTGTTGTTAATTGTGTTATATAATCCATTAAAAGCTTTGACTATCAAATTAATAGAAATGATGAGCGTTTAATGCTTGCATAATTGTAAACAACAAATCTGTAAGTTGAATCGTCTTTTACAAAAAGAGAAAAATTTTCTCTTTAAGGAGTCAGACTGTTCGACCCCGCCATCAAACTTGCCCCCAATGTGGTCTTCTTCCTTTGCTGCAAGCTGAACTGTGGAAGAAGTTGTGTACTATTTATATTATGATCTCTTTTATATTTTTTACTTAGTCAAATTAACTTTTCTGTACTGAGTTACTTGATAAGGCATAATAGACTTTTTCATATTTCCTACCATTCTACAAGTATAGTAAAAATACTCCTATTGACAGAATGATGTGTTCAGCCAATAACTTTCCACATCTTACAATTTTAATTCTTCTTTTTCTTAATTCTACAGTCAAGTGTGCAGACAAGTTAAACCTTGAATTATTATTAATATTTTAAGTTAAATAACCTTTCGTTATCTTTGTAACAATAAAATATTTTTCATATAAATTATTTAAATTGCACTTCTCTATGTGTGTGTATGTATGTATACATTTCTATATTTAACTTTAATTTCTAATTAAAATTTTTAACTGAATCTAATTTAATTATGCACAAAACATTCCTATTTTTACTTACTTAATCATCATATTTTTATGTAATTGTTTTCTATTTTAAAATATGTTATATTAATTTACAATGACAATTTTATATATATATATATATGTGTGTGTGTGTGTGTGTTTTTCCCTAAGGGTGATTGTTACAATGTAGGAAAATTATTAGTTACATATCATAGCAGTGTGGAAATGTGGGGTCGTTTTCCTGCCTAATGTAGATACATGCTTTTAGATGATTCTCGTGAACTATCTGCCAATTTTGACCTCATTGCTTAGGTTCGGACTTCTTAAAAATTATCCAAGAATTGATGATGGGTTTTAGTCTGCGAGATGGTTCAACTTGAAATAGTCCAAAGCTTATAAAACTTTACCTACCGGAAAACCATTAGGCGTCACCAGCTGATGACCAAAAGCCAAAAGCTGTTTGACAAAGTGTGATAGTAAATTTACCAGAGTATGGTGAAACTTTTCTATTTCCTTCCGGGTGATATTTCATTCACACCAAATAATTTTTCAAATCTCATTTATTAAAATATTTAAAATTTGTGCCCTGATCGCTCGGGATGTATTCCAGTGCTTGACAATAATTGCGGTCTCGGCTGTTCAACCTCTGCAAATTGGGGTGATTTATACAGGTTAAGGGTTATTTGATGTCGGCCTTTTTGGTGATGGGTTCTACGATATAACAATTCAAACATATGAGGGAACAAGATTCTTTCAGTGGGGCTCTGTTTTGTGGGTGATGGCCCTCCAGTGGCTTTCACATCTCGTTGCAATAGTTGCCAAAAATAAATTGCTTCTACTGGTTCTCTGGTTCACCCCCCCCCCCAATAGATTGGGGCATCAAAATACGGTTGGAACAATAGCTCTTTTAACTCCTTTTATATGCCATAGTCATCTTCTACTATGTTCTTTTATATTTGACATACCTGTTTGCAGACGGAGTCATCCCTTTGGTTTTTATTTGCGAGATCTCTCATCCACTCGTGTACACCTGAGCTATGAATTGGTGCCCACATGGGCATTCATCTTTCCCTGGCCGTCGATTTTAACTGCTATGAGTTGCTTTTTACTGGTACTGTATGTATATAGGTAACTTCCTCGTCGAATCAGGTCAGGTTTTACACCGTCTATAGCTCCAACATGACAAATACATAATAACATTTGATCCTTTGCAAATTGTCACTTTTACGTTGTCGAATCTTTGTTACCGAGCAAAAACAAAACATTTTCTTCACACAAGGGGTTCATTCATTTGACTCTCGAAGGCTTCTTGATGTTCTTGTCTCCAAGCATATTCTTCCTTCTTTTAGTTAATTCAGAGTGGGGTTGGACCATATTTTGTTTCCCTCTGTTTGTGACTTAGTGTAGTTTAGTTTTTGTGTGTGTGTTATTTTGAAGCTCGTGCCTGTGATGTACCTGTTATTGCGTTTAATGGTATTTATTAGTTTTTGTAGGGTTTGCATTTTTATTTTGTCAGTGGTACTATTTTTAATTTTTCATGTGTATTAGTGCCGTTATTTAGTCTCGGTTTGTATTATATTTCTGGTCGTTTTGTACATGCCGAATTGTTTGTGGTAAGTTTCAGTCATTGTTAGAACTAGGAAATCTCTAGTTCTCTCTTTCTTTTGTGAATTTTGTGTTTTTGTTAAGACATTCTGGTCAGTAGTAAGTGTTAGTTTGGTTACCCTAGTCCTAATCCATTTTTCAAGTTTTTTCAGTGTTTGTGTAGTGTATGTTGTATTACCTTACTGGAGTCAATTGATGTAAGTTTGTTATGTCAAATTATGTTAATTTATTGATAGTAGTTGTAATTTTTGTTTTAATATTTTTTTTGGTATAGTTGGGTTGTGTGAATTTATATCTGAGATGATATAAATATTTCTATTGCTATTGTTGATATTAATATACAGATATTGCCAGGAAGAAGAAAAGACAGCAGAGCATGTTGTTGGTGCAAAGGCTTATGTAGGCTGACATTCCAACTCTGAAAAAGTTTTGATTTCTGGTTAAAAAAAAAAGCTTATTAAGGAGCTCTAGACAGTGGATTTTGGACATAGACCAACACTGGTTGCAGTGTGCAGCAGCTGTGATGCTGTATGTGGGTGTACACGAGCCGGATGGAGTTACAGCCGATGCCAATGAGCTCATGTTTCTGGCAGCCACATTGGCTGTTGAGAGTAACGTTTAATCAAAATTTGTGCAATCGCAATATTTGGGGTTATAACTAGATTTTTTTTTTTTGGGGGGGGGTTTATTATAATGAATTTTATAACATAAGATTTCTTTTATTTCGTTTTTTTAGAACTCTCCTTTCTTTGAAATCCTTTTATAATTATGTGTTAACAGGATCATTGGTTGAGACCTGGTTCAAGCTCTCCTCTGAACCCCTTTATTAAATATAGTCTTCCTTAGGAGCTGGAGAAATGGACTATTAACATAACACATGTTCACTCATACAAATCAACAGTCAAGAGGCCACAGTACATAAATAAACAATTACTATATAAATATATGTAATTAACAATTGTTTTATGTATACGTTATTCAATCTTGTCAAAACTAATAATGAGCATTTCTTATCACAGGTATGCTTTCAGACTTGTTACATATATGAAGGGTATTTTGTTCTGCAACGTTCGAAGGCATCAATTATGGCTTCTCTGAAACACACAATTCGAACACGGATAAGTATAAGTAGATACAAGCAAATTAAATTGTTAGTAACTATGTAATAATAAGATCGATGGGGGAATATCGTGTACCTATCGGTCATAAGTAAGTGAGGGTTCAAATGATTTCACTGTTGGTAGTCCCCTATAAGTAAATATATAAAAGGGTGGTACATTATATATATATATATACAGGGTGAATTGCTACTCGTGCTACAAACTTCTCCAGTAGATTCTTCACCCTAAAATGAACAAAAAAGTTCATATTGTCCATGGTCCGATTCTCAACCATTTCAGAGTAATTTCGCTTTTTATCGATTTTGAAAGATATCACGTCCTGNTATATATATACATAATAAGGTGTTGACACGGTGCTCATCACTTGAGGTAAAGGTACCGTGGGAAAGAGAAAGGGAGGGAGGGAAACAGAGAGTGAGAGAGAGGAGAGGAGAGTGGAGAGAGAGAGAAGTGGAGGATATTTTTTTAGAGATTACAGAAAGTACTGATCTACTTTATTTATTTTTCTTAGGCACAAGCAGAAACAGCTATGAGATTTTTTTTAAATATTTGTTAAAATTGTGTATTTATAGTTATTGTCATTTGAGATTAAAAAAAAAAAATATTCCCAATCAAAATTTTAAAAAATTTCATTTGATTTTTGTCAAACAAGTCTAACTTGTACTTATAAGGTAAAAAGAGTTTTAATCCATTTTTTTACCTAAACACTTTTTGGTGTAGAATAAATGCTGATACATGGCCAGCTTCTAAGTAACGAACTTCAGCACCAGGCCAAATATCTGTTATATTCGTTACACCTTCCCTAGGTACGTAACCGTCGTCACGGGCGCAAACAATGATTATTAAAGAGGTATCAACAGGCTTCGAGAAGTTGGCTATGTGGGTGCACTCATCCATTATTCCTTTCATAAAATGAATCACTTCCAGCTGTTGATTAGGGACAGGTACATCTGAAAAACACCAAATAATGTATTTGATTATTTTTAAATAGTGAGTAAATATTGACATGAAAAAAATAGCAAATATTTTGAGAAAACCTTAAACCTTAGAATTCCCAAATTTATTTTAAAACTGTGATTTAACATTTACTGTAACCAGTGAAGAAAATAAATAGAAAGATTTCCTCTTTTTATTTAATTTAATTTCTATAATTAATAAGTAGGGAATATAATTATGGTAATTAAATTTAAACTAAAATGCATTAATTAAAGTAAAATTAATATTGATAAATTAAAAACTAGTTAAGTAAATATATGAATAAAACTAAATAAAAATATTAATCTTGGGAAATGAAAATGCCAACGAGGTGTCTAAGGCCGAGACGTCCCAACCTTTGGACGCATGACACTAAAAATGTAAGGACAATCAAAAGAAAGTAGCAGCACCAATGAACTTGATTGACAGAGAAGCTCTTATGTCTCAAGAGCACTGTCAATAGGTGGCCGTCGGAGGATCTGACCCGTAGACGAGGGATCATCCCCACCCAATTAACAATAGGCCATGTAAAGATTTAGAGACTGCATGCATTGGGAGCTGGAATGGCCTAGTTGTTGATTGACCCTGGAGCCCAGCCTTGGCGCCGGACGGATAAGACAGGTCTGATCCCGAACTGGCAAAACCGGGGTGGGTGATTCTCGAGGCCTGCCAGTAATTTATTGTAAATTACAAAAGCTGGAAGAAGTGAGAATTGATAGGCAACGCTCTGCACCCATGTGTATGTATGTACATCCATGTGCAGAGTTGGGCATAAGCAAAAACAAATTGTATTTTTTGCAATGGCATTTGTGACTGGGGTCTGAACCTGTAGTTTGATCGTTTACAATCAATCGGGTCTGCTAATCCTCGCTGATTTAACAGTAACAGACCTGAATATTGGAAAAAGCTGACAGACCAAACCAGAGAATAGGCTAAATGACTGGAAACAACCAAACTATAAGACCATAAGGGTAAAAGCACATAAGAGTTGTTCAGGTCTTATGTTCATGGCAAATGTAGGAGGAAAATCATAATTTTTACTCTTTTACTACTACTCTTACATGCTTTCAATCATGAAAATAAATCATGCTGAATGGTAGACTAATAAGAAGTTAATTTAAATTGTTAATTCATATTGGGCTGTTTAATAGGAAGTCATAAAAATATGAAACTAAAACATCACGCTTTATCAATAAATATATTAGCAATACCAAAAAGATTAATTTAGAGGGGGATTGTTTTTATTTTCAAAAAATTAAAAATGAACTATGAATGAAATTAAAGGTAGAATTGGTTTCAATCCTGATGGTCAGGCAATAAATTTGGAACTTTATTCACAAGTTTACGTTTGGAGTGTGAATAATTTTCTAAACAAAAAAAGCACCCAAATGGTAAATCATAAAAAATATTCCACTGCATCCTGGCAACCAAAGGCAAACAGTTTGTTAATCAAGTCATACCACACCTTGCTCCTTCAGAATGCCAACTCTCATTTGCAGGGCATTGGAGATTTAAGAAGTTGAGTTTCAATTTTGTGACTGTAAAGGCCCATCGTGGTACTGGAGTGGTAATAAATTACTGACACAAGCAGGTTTGGACGATTGACAATATCGATCTATATTTAGTGGAATGGGTATCATTACATTAATTTATTTTTTTTTTTTAAATAGATACAAAACACATATAATTTTTTGTACTATCTAGTATATCTGTATCAAGATGTGAATGAATGAATGAATGAAATAAGTACTCTATTAAATAAACAAAATAAAAATAACTTTTTACAGTGTAACCATAATATAATACAAAGCACATCCTGCCAATGGTTTACAACCGTCTGCCGGAGAACAGACTGTAAGGTTTAAAAACAAACAGAACACTAGAATTTGTTATTTTACAAAAATAAAAATAGAAGATGTCCAGGGTTTATGTGTATATATATATTTAACATTTAATAATTGGAATAAAAAAGTTCTTTCCTGTAGTACTTCCTTCACAAAATGTACTAATTTAAACGATGAGGGTTATTTGAAGAAGAAATTAGATGTTCTCTTGTCATCATGGGTAAGCTTACATGACGATCTCTGAATTCTGACAACACTGAACACTCTTGTAGAAATGTGTGGTGTTTAGTGACCGTTAGTTAATAATTATTTGGAGATCGTGAGATGCAGCCTGGGTGATATAGATTTTAAAAAAACATTTTCCTTGTTCCACCGTTTCAATCTTTATTGTGATCATCTTCAGGGCTCAAAGTGTCTGTTTTCTGTGTAGATGTGTCATTCTTGTGGGCCAGTGTGATATTGATGTTTTATGTTTTTATACATTGAATTTTGACGGGGTGGGGAAGGAAGTCTGTTTAGAAAGACATTTTTATGAGTAGTCAGCTTCTTTAAGGTGAAAGGACCCGACAGTGGGAAAAATGGGTAATGGTCAGCCTGATTATCCTTTCAGGATTATATAGATAATTAGGGGATAATTAGGGAAATGAAAGCCAAATTGTTGAAGAATTAGACTATGTAGAAACGTTTGATGTGTGGAATGTAATGATTGTTTTATATGTTATATGTTTTGTGTGATGTGATGATGATATATGTATGTTATTGATATTAAATTTGATTAGCTGGACACTGTTGAAAATTGAAATAAATCTTCTTTAGTTGGTCAGTTGCATAAGGAGCATAGATCGCAACATTTATCTCTTGTAGGGCTGTAGTTAAGATAAAACAACTTGCACCTAATTTTGAAAAACAGCGAGCCAACAGAATGGATTTGATTTTAGAATTTTGTGACATATGAAAAACAGCTTGGTTAATATTGGGATCTTTATACACGAAAATCTGAAGGAATTTTGAGCATGAAACGGACATCTCTCTGTGTGAGAGGTTTGGATATTGCTTACCAATTTAGAATGTAAAAATGACCAATCTTTAAAATTGTCCAGCTAAAAATGGCATTAAGATGAAATTGTTGAGCCAAGGTATTTCAGAAAGAGAGCCGCCGTGATATTTTGTTCCTAATAATCTCTAACACAGTAATACTTGGAAGGTGGTGTTTAGGAAGGTTTTGGACCTTGCAGATATAGTAGGTGTGTAAATTTAATGTAAATTAAAATATGAAGTCAATTGAGGTTTTGATGTATATCATATAAGGATGGAAAAAGGGATGTGATAAACTTTACGGATGAAATAGCATTGTAGAGATTCAATTACATCATATCGTTAAAGCTCAAAGCTTAGGAAGGGTAGCACATAGATAGAGCGGCAAACAGATAAACAGCTTGTATTTACTACAAACTAGGATGAGAGCATTAGAAAAAAGTTTGACTAAATTGAATTATCGCATATTTTGGAGTGAATTTTCCGTTTGAGATTGGCATTGAATATAGTTTAGGTATTAAAATTAAGCCTAAATATTTGTACTTGTTGACTTTAGTAATTCTAACAGACTCTAAAAAAAATATTAATGTCTTACAGACCTATTATAATAATTGGAATCTTTCAGTTAACCTAAAAAAATCCAAAATTATGGTTTTTTTGTAGGGGAGGCTGACAAGCACTGGTATTTTAAGAGTTCTTGCAGTGAAATAGTCAATGGTTCAAGATGTTTTACTGTAGTAATGCACAAATTTTCACCCTATACTGTCTAGTTCTTTGTTTATTTATTTATTTTTTTTTTTTTTGTGTGGAAGGGATTTGATTTTTGTATGTTTGAATTACTCAAAGGTGCTTGTGGAAAGTCAACATAATTGTTTTGACAATTGTCTTATTTATTTATTTCAAGAAGTGTACTCCAGCTGCAAACAACCTGATCTAATCAATGAAAATATTACGAACAAGAATGAAATAATCTCATCTAGACAGCCTTCTAGGAATACTGATTTTTGTTGACACTGCCGCCAGGGAAAGCTCACAACAGGCAAAATATGAAAAACTTTCCCTAACATGAATGGTCTTATAATACACAATTACATTGCAATTCATAATTATTATGTTTACTTGATAGGGGCGTTTCTGTGAACAACGGAATTTTGGATAAACAAATTCTTCTCTAACTTCTTTAACCAAGAACTAATTTATTTATTTATAGTGTTATTGATAGTTAATTACTTCCCTATGGTACTGGAAGAAAATTTTTGCAACAATTTCTTCAAATAACATTGATTAACAGGATGTTCAAGATGTAGCTCATGCAAGCATGATTCAGCCTTGTGCAAATTGTATTACACTTTTCCTAACTTTGCAGCACCAAAATTTTCCATGGTTCACCCAATTTCTTAAACCCGACAAACCACACCACCTCTGAATTCCTACCATCCCATCAGTATATTCTAATTCTCTAATATACTCCCAACCATCAATTTGGATTTAGGTCACCATTCCACTGTTCAACATTGCCATCCTTTGAGAAGAAAGGATGCTTCTGTAGAACAGCTTTCGATTGAGTCTGGCACAGTGGCACCTAGGTTTGCTCTGGAAACGCCGGGGCATCCTACCCTCTGCCTATGTCCTCACCCTTAAATCCTGCCAAGGTGACAGGTACTTAGTATGAGTCAGATCCTCACACTTTCCTTTGTAAAGGGTGAATGCAGGAATCCCTCAAGGTTGTGTTCTTGACCCACTACTGTACTCTATATGTGGTGATATACATTCCGATCCTGCCATCACTTCCTAACACACACTGAATGACACTATCCTCTAACTCTGACCGTGTACCTCTGTAGCTCACAGAGCCCTTCAAACACACCTATAATCTGTTAAATAATGGTTCGAAAAATGATGAATCAAACTTAACATCACAAGTCCCAAAACATAACCTTTAAGCCGGTAACACACTTACCCGATGCAATGCCATGCGACACTATTCGATGCTACCCGACGCCTTGCCCCGTTTTGGTAGGGTGTGCACATCTATGTGAAGTCAAGCATATGTCACGTACAGTCCACAGCGTTTATCACAATAATCACTATCACAATCGCAACTCCTCTTTTGTTCTTAATGCACTATTTTGAGCAAAACCTTGTAATAAATTGTTTGTTAAACTTAATTGTTTTAAATAAAGTTATTCCTGTGTTTTGATAAATTTTCTGCCTTACCATCATAATTAAATAACTTTTATAAAAACTTATGAATTTTTGATCTCGTTTTATTTGGTTTACATTAAAATAGGAATGTTGTGATTAATATAACGGCAAAATTATATATAATTAGTTTGAAATAAAGTACAAAAAATATGAGTGTCCTGTTCTGAAGCTACTCAACGACAATGGTGTAATTTTATGAGCAAAACCATGAAATAAATTGTATGAGTAAAACCGTGTAATAAATTCTTAGTCAAATTCATTATATCAAAAAATGGTATTCTGGTGTTTTGATCAATTTTCTACCAAACCATTAAAATTAAATTTTTTAAAATAAAAACTAATGAATTTTTGTTCTCGGTTAATTTGGTTTATATTAAAATAAGTAATAATACATGTAGTTGGAAAAAAATATGAGTGTCTGGTTCTTTTGTCTTTGACTGTACTTGATGCGACCCGACGAAAATCTGGACAGTGGGGATCGCAAAGCATAGAGTAGGTGTAGCATAGCATCGGGCAGATGTGCACGGGGATAATACAATCTTATGGAAAAATGGACTTTGGATTTGCATCAGGTAGCGTCACATGGCGTTGCACCGGGTAAGTGTTTTCCCTTTCATTGCATCACTCTACCTTTAAAATATTATAACCTCACCCTCTTCCCACTGAAAATGGTTACTGCTGTATCTAGACAAATGACTTACCTTGAATCCCAATACCTGAATTAAAAGGATTGAACTGAACCAACGATACAAATTAGTTAAAACGCTACTACAACAGAACTAAACTCTCCCTTTACAACAAAATACTTGAATACTTGATATTGAAACCAATATGAACATACAGCATAGAACTATGTGGTTCAACCAAATCTTCCAATCTCTGCAGAATACAGACCGTACAATCACGAATCCTTAGATCTATCATCAATGCCCGGTTCTAAGTTTCTAATAATGACCTAAATGCTCCCACCTTTTTAATGAAGCTGCAAATCCAGCTACAAAAAATTCCACACTAACCTCCAATCCCACTCTACTCCCTGTGTACAACCACTTTCCTTGTCGCCATCAGAGAGAGCAAGTGATTAAGTGATGATTTCTGCTTTAAGAGTGCAATCACTGGATAGCTTCTCCACTCATTGTATTTTTACTGCCCTCCCACTTATCTTGTTATTTATGTAAATTATTGCACTTTGGCAGATTGTTGCACAATTAATTTAAAAATATTTTAAATCTCAATTTAAAAAAAAGTTCAGCAAATAAAACATTGCAATTTCTATGCCAAAATAGGCAGGAACACACTGAACATTTTCACCATGGCCAAGCACATCATTGCTTTTAATCATGAGAAGGATGTTTAAGTCACTTTATGTAATGTGCAATCATGTTAATTTATTATACATTATTTATATAATTTTATACACTATTGCCATATTGCCAATAGAAATAGTGGAAAACTTGAAGTAAATTGAGTACTATGTGGCAATTACATCTGTATTTAATAAACTAATCTAGATTATATTATATAAAATATATAATATAAAGTAAAAACTTCCGTCCTAGTTTTGATTTTACCTTGCTTTGAGCTAGAAATCCTAGAGGAAAATGATTGGATTAAATTTTTCCTGTTAACTGTCTGGACATTAGCAATTTTACTATCATTTGAATCTTGATGGCGTTTATTCATAATGTTAGTAATACTTGTTGGGAAGGCTTTAGCAAATTGCCGTCCAGCAACAAAAGCATCCTAAAAACATAATAAATTTTTAAAATAATATCGGCTCAATGATGAAATGAAGCACCCAAATTTAACATTTAACAAATAAGGGATCTTATTAGTAAAGTTACCAAATTAAACAACAGAACACAAGGATAATAAACTATTCCTAATACACCACAATATAAACAACTCAGCAATATCATGATCGTTCAACCAATCACTCAGACCTAGCTATGTTACCGAACATTAAAATGCAATGTGTGTCAATCTTTGTTAGTAAATAAGCTGCTGAAATCTACTTTGTGCATGCATTATATTATGTAATGATGTGGAAAACTCACATGTTCCATGTAATCAACCATACTTGCAATATCGCTTCTAAGAACCTCATTTTCTGTGTACTGGGTTTCCAAAAGACTCCAATTTATTGCCTTGCTTATAACACCCTTAAAAATTAACAATTAAATGAAAATTAAAACAAAATGAAGATAAAATAAACAGATTCATAGAAATCATTTATAGTCATGATTAGAGCCGGACTTGTGTGCAATTACATATTCTTTTTTATAACACTTACAAAAGCAGTGATCATATATTAATCCAAAGCATACCTCCGTGGTATATTGGTTCAAATGTTACTCTGCATAGAATAATGCAAATTTGAATTTTTTTTATTGTTTAAAACACTAAAAATAAATTATAATCTGGTTTGGGATGTTATTGGGTATGTGGTCCTTCAATGAATCATACACTGTATTATACAGTTGCCTGATTCATTGAAGGACCACATACCCAAACATCCCAAACCAGATTATAATCAAAGTTGGTCGATAACTGAACAACCTCAAAAATAAATTAGGCAACTAAGAACATGAGAGGAAAAAACAAGTCTATAATTTGTAGTTGACATTGCAAATTCTTTTTCAAGGTACAATTATTTTTTAAGCTGCATTACATGCTGTACTTTTACAAAAACACTAACTTTGTAATGTATCTCTTCTCCAATTTTAATTCAAATAATGAATTTAATTAAGCTTAATTATTTATTTTATATTATAGAATTATGATTTTTTGTGATTTTTCTGTCATATTTCTTTACAGTATTAATAAATACTAGACCAAAAAGAAAAAAGGTCTAGGTAAAAAAAGTTAATTATTAGTCAGGTGAAGTCTTTGACATTCGTGCTAAATAATTTAACATTTTTAGTGTGAATTCTATGACATATTTGAGTATTTTTATTGCATATGAATCCTGGCTCTAGTCATCATGGTTGTAACTTGCATAGAATTATGATGTATGTGTTACAATAAACAATTAAAAACCACTTTACTTATCCAATAATTCAGAACCTAAACACATATATCCAACACTCTTCTGTAATCAACATGTGTTGGGAAAATTGTTTAAATAAGAAATATACATTACCTCTGTGAAAACACCCGATGCTGTAGACCAGGATAAACAAGGGACTAAAACTAAAGGGTATGGCCAATTTGTTGCTGCTAGTGATGCCATCTGAAAATCATTAATTGGAATATAGTTAAAAATTATCTCCGTAAATGATTTATTATTTACATTATAATATAATTACCCTTATTAGAAACTGTCAAATTCATACAGTGTACCAGTACTTTGTGCTGGTTGGCTCTAATACTAGTTGTGTTTTATTTAATCATTCAGTTAAAAAAAAATCTTACAATATAAACTAGTGTAATTTTATAGTAAAGATCTGTGATAAGGCCAATTTCAAAGAAAACCCTGATTTCATTATTTTTTCTTCAACTTTCAAGGAATGTATGTATCCACAGTGCATATCTAACCAATCATGGTATCACTTTATCCCAAAAACATAGAATTTTGACAATATTTGGTTATTTGCTATTATATTACAAGTAAGTTTTAAAGGATTACTTGCTACTTGATTACTTCTTATCTCATTTTGTCCAAGTGTAAACAACATTTTTTTTTTCTAACTCCAAATATGTTTAATTTTGTGCCAACAAAACTCAATAGTGGGTCATCGATTGCTGTGTGAGACTTATAGGGGCCATGCTCCATCAATTTGAAGTTGCGAGTACTAGTTTAGATGGTACAAAAGTGGTGATTTTGACACGAAGGAACATGTGAAAGAAAGCAAGACAACTTTCAAGATGCACAATTGGAAGCATTATTAAACAAAAACTCGTGTCAAACGCAAGAAGACCTTGCACAATTTTTGGAAATGACCCAACAAGCAATTTCATTACATCTTAAAGCCATGGATTCAAAAGTAAAGAAATTGGTTGTCTTATGAACTGAAGCCAAGAGATGTGAAAAGAAAAATTTTTAATTGTGAAAAGCTGCTCCAAAGGCAAAAACAGAATAGTTTTTTGCATCGAATCATAACTGGTGATGAAAAGTGGATTCATTGCAACAATTCAAAGCATGAGAAATGTGGGATAAGCAAGGCCATGCATCACCTTCAACAGCGAAGCCAAATATTTGTGGATCAAAGCTCATACTCTATATTTGTAGGATCAGCTGGGTGAAGTATATTATGGGCTGCTAAAATCAAATGAAACCATCAAGGGAGATAGCTACTGACAGCAATTTATGCATTTGAGCTGAGCAGCAGCTAACAAACGGCCAGAATATGAACAGAGCAAAGTGATTTAGCAGCACTACATGTTGCAGTGCCAGTCAAAAACAACTTGGAAACGCGGGATTATCCTACCCCACCCTCCCTACCCTATCTTCCAGACATTGCTTCCGATGACCATATGCTTCAATCAATGACTCATGTCCAATCTGAGTACTTCCATTCTTAATGGGTTGAATCTTTCATTGCCTCAAAAGACCAGTCGTTCTTTCAATGCGGAATTTGTACAATGCCAGAAAGATGGTGAAAAGAGTACAGCAATGGGCAATACTTTGAGTAATCCATTTGTTATCATTTTTCCACAATTAAGCCCCAATTTTCACAAAAATCCTTGAAAACTTACTAGCACTCTCAATAAGCCAACAGTCAAGAACTCTTCACGGATATTCACGGATTTGATGTGTTAATGACAAGTATTCATATTCTGTCTGACTTTTAGATTTGATTAGTTCAATTTTAAAGAAAGTTAGTAGATGTATAATTCCCCCATTTTTGTTTTTCACTCCTTAAAGATAGTACAGGTTAAGTATGCCATAAATTTATTTAGTTACTTTATTATATACAGTATAAATTGTTTATAATGAATTTCAGGAGAAAATTTTGTATGTTATAAGCGGTATTCATTATAAACAATATATCGCTTATAGTGAACAGTTCGTTATATCTGAAATTTCATCCAATTGATAGGCGTGTACATTTATATGTATATTTATTTATAAAAGAAATGATATAATTAGTCAATATATAATTCATCCAGGTTTATGAGGAAGTACAAAACACATACTAACCTAATAAAGTAATTTATTTACATAAATGTTTTTAAAACATTAATACATATATGTATGTATATGTACAAATGTGAATGGAGTTATCTCACTACACTATCATTGTAGTATGTAATCTGTTATCTTTTTTGGCAGTACTTTTTTAACTTTATGGTACTTATTAATTTATTTTAATTTTATTATTATTTATTTTATTTTATTATTATTATTATTTATTTTATTATTATTATTTTTTTATAAGGCATTTAGAGTTAAAAAAAAAGGGGGAAGAATCTTTTAATCATTAGGCAGCTTGGGGTAACTTTTGCATGCTGTCCACTATAACTGATACTGAATGGCTTCAAGGATTCCAAAATATGTTCGTTATAAATGGTTCCCTGTTTTTGTCTTATGGCATTTTACGGTATTGGTGATTGTGCATGTTATTAAAGGTCATTCCTTATAACTGGTCTCATTATAAACAGTTCTACTGTATATATATTTTTTTACCTCAGCTTTCCATAATATTTAATCCCAAAATCCTAAATAATCTCAGAAAACCAAAACTTTTTTAAAATAAGAAATTAGCCATAATTTTTAATGTTGTGTACCAAACTTAATATAGTAATAAACGTAAGTATTCACTAACCGCTTACTAAAATAAAGACTAACTATAAATAATTGAATGAAAAATTCTTACATGACCTCCCATTGACATGCCTGTAACACCAAGAGGGCCATATCCTTTTCGCCGACACCAGTGAAGGAGTACCAATGCTTCAAGGATTAGACAACCGCCCATTACGAAAATGTCAGAAACATTGTGTAAAACAGATCTTCTAAAAATGTAAAAACTATTTTAATGTTTCTATTATTTATTTAAAAAAAATTTAAATCAACAATTTATACTATAGCATAGTATCTCTCTCTTTCCTCTGTGCCACAGTACATCTCCCTCAAAGAGGTAGAGCAGTATTGTATGAGAAAATGGATTAATTTGCTCAACTTTAAGGGGTGGTTAACAAGTGTGTACACATGGCTTAAAATCTGCTTTATGTTTAAGTGTTAAGATATGTCGCGCTGGGTTGTTGATCTTGTGGGGCTCCCCTTTTGTTGATGAACTCCAACAGGTCTCAGACAATTGATCTTGTGCTAAACTGACTTCTGATAACCTTCACACTAACTTCCCGACTGACTATTGATGGACTTCTCTCTCTTCTATCCACCTTCTCTCATTCTCCACTTCTGTCCCTGATACTGACCAGCATTATATCCTGGCTCAGCCATGAGTGGCCTTGGGTTGAGCACCTTAGGTGGTAAGGCCACAGAGGCCGGAGATCCCAGATCTTAGCTGATGAGGCCTCGTGCGGTCGTGCAACAACACTATCAACTTTAATTTGGTTATTTTTACAATACATTTCATTTGTTAAAACTGGTCTAAATAACCATCTGTTAATACTACACTGGCTAATAAATATAATAATAAATACTCATTAGTGTCAATTTAACTAGCTGAGATAACCTAATTTTTTAAACACTATCTCAAAAAGCTTGGTCCTCTTCAGGACTTCAGGTTTGGGGTCTTAAAATGTGTTGAAAGTGGAGCAGGCTGCTGACCTCAGTGTTTGAGTGGCCTTAAAGACATAGAAAGTACTTATATATGTAGATGTAATACTTCGCCCTTTGAGAGCTATTGTATCCCCAGTTCTGAATGTTGGCTGTTTAAAAGCAGTGGCAATAAATAAATCCTGGCATCAACTTCAAATGTAAGAAAGTATCCCACTGAGAGGGAAATGAGGAGTATTTACTGCAGTCTGTCGCATGACAGTTATGAATGTCAGGTTTAGGGTTACCAACAATTTGATACTGTTGAAAGGTGCTTTTTTTTACCTTTTCAGGTCAAGGTCTTTTGCCTACCAGCAGCCACTCCAAATTATTTAATTTAGTTGGAAACCTCATGTGAACTTCTTTTTATTTACACCTTGAAAGTGTAAACTTTTCATTCGTTTTTAAAACCTTTACATCTTCAGTTGTAAATCTCTCCAGGTAATGGCTATCTCGATTATTAAAAAGAAATTGTATTGGTTTGCTCACTGGCATACACTGTTCTGGAAAAATGAAATAATGTTTTCTCCCTCTTTACAAAATATTTTAGAGTCATTAATAAAATTTCCAACATTCATAGTGAGAGTTGCTATTTAAATATATTTATTATAGTTTATTATTTAAAATATTTATTCAGCTACATATTTATCACTATGTAAAGAACTTAATCTTTCTGTTGCCTTATTCCATTTTTATAAAGATAATTTAAATGGTTACTCCACAAATGATTTGCATTGGCTATTTAAAATGCAGTGCGAGCTATTACATCTAAATTCAGTTCTGCGAGTTGTTCTTTCTGTAGCTCAGGTCAATGGAAAATATTACTCATTTTCTAGCTGGGTGTTAATCCTGGGCGAAATCCGTCGACTCCATTTGGGCAATTTCTATTTGCCCAGAAATACTTTTATTAATTACTTGAATGGTACAAAAAACTCAAAAGAACTGATCCAATATGCCCATCATGCCTGGAATTACAGATATGAAATAGTTCATGAACTTCATATTTCACTTAATGCTTTTTGTTTTCTGTATAGATTTCATGTTATTATTTTTTAAATAAGAATTGGTGGGTTATTTCTTAGAATTTGTTAAATTTTTCTGTTAATTTCATTTATTCTCATGTAAATCAATTTCCATATTTTTCTTATCGGTATTGTTACCCATTTTAGTCATAACGAATATTTATCTTATATCTTCTTTTTTCTATTTTTTCTTCACATTTTCCTGTTTTTTGTTTTTTTATTCCTTTATTCTCATTAATTTTTATTTTATCCTTTATTAAGTTAATTTTCATATCCAGTTTCTGTTTTCTTAATTTTATTTATTTATTTTTACATGTTTCTGTTATTAGGCCCAGTTTCAGTGGTTGAATTTCTTCTTGAATTTACTCGTACTGCAATTTCGTACTGCAGGCAAGGGTAAGCTCCGCAGTTTGTTAGAACATTTTCTGCTTCCTTGCAGAATCTATAGGTACCATGTTGGATTATACCAATCTTCTTCAAATGCCCATTCAGCCAGCAGTGTCCTGTTAAGAATCCTTCAAGGATTTGAAATTTATTCCTGCTTATTTTATGCATTCTGTTTTTTTTTTTTTTCTCTCTCTTATCATGTTTTATAGTAATTTATTTTGAAACCACTGAATTAGAGTAGTATTACATGGTTCTTTTGACACAACTCCATAATTGTGTAAACACATCCACATAGTTTTGAATATATTATTGTAAATCATGATTTTATTTTTCCACTGAAAAGAGGAGGCTATGCACGAGGGATAACCAATTTTAACAAAACATTGTTTGGTGATACATACTTTTAAAAAAATGAGTTTCTTCTATTGTAGACTATTTTTAAAAAATTAAATTCTTTAATTTTAAAAAATCATAATTCGATCAATTTTTATTTTTTAAATTAAATAAATTAAATTAAACCTTTTTCCCCAATAAAACTACTAGCAAACTTAAATTCTTTAATTTTAAAAAATCATAATTCAATCAATTTTTATTTTTTTAAATTAAATAAATTAAATTAAACCTTTTTCCCCAATAAAACTACTAGCAAACTATGGTGTACACACAGTAGTGTTTTGGGACATACAACGTAACCGTAGAAGAGAAAAGAGATTCAATCACTGAAACCCCGAGCCTACTAATCAAGTTCCTCGATGAACTAGGTCATATTGGTGTGCTTTAAGTACAGAATGCGGGATACAATAGCTCTTAAAGGGCGCAGTATAATATCCACCCTGACTAATACATCTATCTATCTAAAAAAAAAAAAAAAACAAGTAATGAAAATATAAAGAATTATAAATTATGGAAATTAAATAAAATGTGCAATTCTTTTCATGCAAATTAATGTGTTGGTTAATATCAGACAAAATTCCCTGTAGTTTGTTTTAATAATAAAGTAAAGACTTTAGTAACATTTACTTTGGATTTACACCCATTAACAGCAATCTTGTATAGTATTAGAATAATAATTAATAATTTACTATATCCATGTTGCATTTTAAGATATGGCAATCTTGCATCTGTAATTTAAAATTATTTTTATACATTTTTGTATTATTTTTAAGTAATATTTAAAAGAAATTTGACAAAACAGAACTACTTCATTGTTTAAAAAATAAAGTTCATGGAAATTTGGTCTGAAATGGAAATTAACCAATACATTTGAATAAGACTGATTAGACTTAATAATTCCCTGTTGAAAATAAAACAATAATACAGCACATTAATTAATTTCTGCTTGTTTAAAAAATAAGTCAGTCAGTGCCATATTATAAAAAGGTAGAAATTAATTATGGTTTACAAAAGTACAGACTAAAGATGATGGCTGATGAACAAATTTACTCTAATGACTGCTACCAACAAAAATACGCTTACATTTGATATTTTGGTTTACGCATTCCATAAAATGGGTTCTCAAGAAGTATCGAAGCGATTCCACCTTCTTTCAACAATGGTTTGGCCATTATATGTCTCCTCCGCCAAAAATACTGAAAAAATTATCAAAAATAATGTGAAATTTGGTATTCAAGTTATTGGGTTGTCTGGAAAATAATGTTGGTTTATAGTTATAAAATAAAAACAATTAAAGTAATTATTTTAATCATTTTTTATTAATTAAAATACCCTCCATCACTCTCACTACACTTCTCCCAATGTGATGGCAACTTCTTTATACCCTCTAAATAGAATTTTGACTCTTTATTATTAACAAATTTTGTAAACACATTTTTTTTACGATTTTTTATCAATCATTTTTTTATGTTGTAAACGTTCCAGGTATCTGAAAAAATGGTAGTCGGTAGGCGTGAGGTCTGAAGAATAAGGAGGGTAAGGCAAAACCTCATAACCAAGATCCAACAGTTTTGTGTTGTCTCATGTGAGACATGTGGCCAAGGGTTGTCGTGCAACAGAATCGGCCTTTTCCGATTGAAGGAAGATGGTTTCAATAATGCCAATTTCTGGTGCATTGTATCAATTTGAGAGCATTGATTTTTTTGCCAGGATTCAAGAAGTAAGTAAATCAGCCCACCAAAGAGTCACCATAACCTTCTTTTTATGAGCTGGGGGCTTTGGAAAATGTAGTGTTACTTCTCCTTTGTTGAATCCCTGCCCAGAACATCTGCTCTTATCGTAGAGAACAAGAGAGCTACATAGCAATATAAATAACCTCTAAAGTTATAAACCTTAAAACTGGATGGCCAAAACTCAACAAAAACTGCTAATAAAAAACTGACCAAAGCTTATAAACTATCATTATGATTGTGTCTTGAAAAAGGAAAAAGGAGAAATAATAATAAAGGCAGGCAAATTTGCTTCGTTTTTATACCTGACCAAACACCCATCCAAACCTTCAATACAAGTAATTTCAAGGCATAATTTTTGAGATCCTATCCAAAATTCACCTCCTTAAAATTAAAACAAATTAAAATGGCATGGGTTAGAGCTATCAGTATTGCCCATAATGAAAAAGGGGATGATTTGGTCAAACTATTATCATCCACAGGACAGGATTTAACGTTCCTTCTTAATTATACAGAATTAATAAAATATGTTAAAAGGAATCATATCCTGAAATGGAAATCAAGATACTTACTTACAATTGGAAAAAACAGCAAAACACTGCAGCCAACAGTGGAAATTAGTTGGTTCAAAAATCAACAAGTTAGAAAAGACCTATGTAAGAGCAGAAGTAGACTTAGATCTAACCATGCCATCTGCAAGCATTACTTGAGAAAGATAAATAGATCAGAGACCCTGTGATTGTTGTTTGGGCACAAAGTCAATGGAACATGTAATAATGATTTGTTCAAAATTCTACAACCAAAGAAAACAATTTTTCAATTAAGTAAACCATTATCTTGAACTTCCATCATTTATGGCGTGATGTTGTCCTCAAGAAATATAAACATTTATAAATTAATTTACAATTTTTTGAAAAAATTAAACATGATGCCTAATGAGTAATTTGTACTGTATTTGGGCACCCATGGCTATGACCATAGTGCTAAAAAAAAAAAAATTAAAATTAACAAAAAAATACGGTTCAGAATTACACAAAATCACTTGTTTAGTCAGCAGTTTACCAGAATCGAATAGTTTTTATCAAAATGCTGTCAATTTATTTATTTAGTTTTGCCAATTTTCTGACCTTATTATGCACACTTGTTTGAAGAGGAGGAAAATTCAAATATCAAGTTTTGTTTTCTAAATTAGACTTTAATCTAGGACATTAAAGAATAACTTATAAATCCAAATGTAAAAAAAGAAATACAGTCTAAACGAGGCTAGTATGAATGGTAAAAAATATTTGGATTTTCAATTGTTTAAAAATGTATTAGAACAAAAGATAAGAGAATATACAAGTATTCAGTTTTTGGTTGTATTCAAATAAGGATAAATGATCATAGATTTAAAAATATAGTCATTATATTGCAACAGTTGAAGAATAAGTTGTTATAAGAAAACTATTCTAAACTAAAAATTGTATATCCACAACTGAATTATATAATATAAACCTAGTAAAAGACAATATTATAAAATAGTCATAATCATAGTAAAAAATTACATGATCTCCTGTCCCAGCCATGTGTATACAAACTGGCTTGTAATATTCAGATTTCCAGGTTTTAGGTAGTATGAACTGAAAATAAGCTAGCTTGGATTCCTCTGGTAAAAGTCCTGGCAAGTAAAGTTCCAACGGTGAACGAAAAGATCCTTCAATAATTCGTTCTCCATTTGAATATGTGTCCTAGAGTAAAAGAAAACAAACATTAGAATTAATATGAAGACATGTGATGTTTACAAACATTTAAAGGTGTGCTTCATTCGTTTAATATATAGATGGATAGATAAACAGTGCTTATTGACAAATTAATATTTCACATGGCTGTCATGCTTCATTTATTACAAGGGGGAAGGGGATTCTAGCATTGGCAAGACATTCATATAGAAATGGTGAATGATGGAGTGAGTGTGGTGTTCAATCCTTTTTTAAAAAAGATAGTTCCTACTCACAATAAGTATTTATTATATATTTGGATGGGAATAAGTATTTATTGTGAGTAGGAATCCTTTTAAAAAAATTTAAAAAACATTCATATATGCTTAGATAATATTTTACTCTCTCTTTTGCAGAGGATTCAACATGATTAACACAATTCTCTGTCAGAGAAATTGTCTTTACACAATTCTCTGTCTCATCTCTAATCAGAGAAAGATTAATAAAAATCCCTCTCAAAAGTGTCAAATATGTATAAGGATGTATCTAACGCCTATCTTGTTTGTTAGGTACTCTTTGAACACAAGAAAAGCAAAAATGCCATGTTTTACATTATAGACATCTATCCTGCCAGACATACAGGCAGTATCTGATGTACTTGAGTTGCTATGGCCATGCACGGGACTGGTCGATATAAAATTAAATATGTGCACCTGACCTACTCTTTGTAATCTTAAATAGTGTGTTTGTAGGTCGTATGTTTGGATGGGAATCTTGTGAAATATGTAAGTGTGTTGGTGTTGCCTTTGAAGGATTAAGTATGGGTTTTTCAGTTTGTTCCAGCCATTGTGATCATCAGCCCTTTATGAAATTTTTCATGTACATACTGTTTTTTAAGTAGTTTTTTTTAGTTTTTTAAGTAGGTCCAATTTCCGTACGTTTATACACTATGTAGTAATATTTATTTTATTAATAATTGTTTGTCCTTTGTTATTGTTGGCTAATATTAGATAGATAGATTATTAGATGTATCAACCACTTTTTTACTTGTGAATAATCTGGTTCTCAGTATGGTCAAAAGGATTAAAAATAAATTTGATTGTTATCTGCCAGCTTTCAANATATTAGTGGGTTTGTTTTGTCATTGTTTCCTAATTTTTTTGTGGTCTTTATTGCAGATTTCTGTCAAATGTACTAAATAGATTGGCTACTGTTTACTTTTTCATTATTATGTATTTCATTTATTTCGTTTTGTATGTTTTTGTATACTAGTTTATCGGTTGTGTCTTTTTGTAGCCATTATATGTGCCAGTTTTTTTGTGTTATTTTAACACTTGTTTATACTTAGCTTTTATAATGTTGTCTGTGGCTATTGGTCTTTTGTATATGCAGAACTGGGGTTTATTATCATTTTATGTATTAATTAAGTCTAGAATGATAATACTGTTGTTATCCAGTAGAAATAATACTTGGAATGCAGACATTCTAAGAAAATAAATATACCTTCATTCTTATCTCACTGCATTGCCCACCAACCAAAATTCGAGTACGATAATAACGACAAAGGGAAAACGTATAGTGCCAAAAATCACCATAATGTCAAACTACACTAATATGAAACATTTTTTATTGGCCACACAATAATGATTTAAAACCAAAGAAGTCAACAAAAAGAACAAGAGTTCAACAAGCCACAATCAACATACCAATCTTAACCATCTCATATCATGGTAACTCACAATTTAAACACATATTATTATATTTCACAATATATTACATATATAATATTATTATATATTAGATTTAAATATATATTTTTTATGGTAATTTAATAGTATAAAGAAAAAAAAATCATTTTGAGTTACAATCAAGCACCACTGAATCAATTAATATACAACAGTTAAAATAGTATTTCACTTGGTCATTTTAGTTAGTACTTTAGCACATTTTAATTAAATTTAGAATTAACGGCACAGCTGAATTTCATCTGCTTTTTTTATTTTTAGTTTATTTGGGATGGTTATTTCCATTTTATAAATCAGAAAGTAGCCTAATACTTATTTTTAAATAGCGACTTTTTGCATAGTTTATATTTACTGTTAATTGGTTCAGTCTTTTATATTTACCTTAGTTATTTTTAGAGGGTAATCTGGGGGAACCAACTTAAAGCACTCTTCACGTCGAGATACTATCCTTCTGAATTTAAGTAACCTGAAAACATAATTTCTATGTACTTGGTTTTTTACTTTTAGATATGATGAACAATTAAAATATATCAGTTGGTAGGTTGATCCCAGCAAGGAAGAACTCGTCGATTTTTTTAAAACTTTTATGGACATTTTATGATAGAGGTTTTAATCTGGTTAGCAGGTGTTTCCCTATTAGAAAAAAATACCACCGATGGTTTATCAACAATGATCTTAAACTGAACTTTTAATACACTATCTAATCTACAATGTAATAAAATACTGGATGTTTTGTACTACATTATACAGGTCAAAGAACTAAACTATTCTAGTGAGCACCAAATTATGATTATAACATATATGTAAAGTAAAATTTATATATTGCTAACTTAAAAAATTTAATATTATTACACATTGTCGATACATAAAAATTTGCAACATTTATGTTAAAGTAGATTTCTACTTGTACTGTACCTCACGTACTATGACATGAATCTATGTCAGTACAAGACAGTTGTAAAGTGAAAGATCTCAAGTCATAATTTCGAGTATTGTTATATATGTTAAATATTTAACTCATTAGTAATAGAGCCAAATCCTCTCAATGGAACTGAGAAGGGGACAACCAGGTTGGCGTGACATGGATTTGGACCAAACTTTTTTGGTGATTCTACCCTCCAAAATATTGGACATGTATCCATCACTTCATGTGAATATGCCTGTGATTTTGCAAAAAAAAGTTTAAAAAAAGGTTTAAATTTTACATTTTTAAATATTTGTGTTTCCCTGTTCTACTTCCTCAAATCAACTATGTGATATATCATTTTACAGCAGTGATTATGTAAATTGTAATACAGATGTAGTAAAAGCTATCAAACTTTAAAAATAGCCAACAAAATTTTAAAAACCAAATATTTTACTAACTAAAAGTAAACTAGGTCATAGATTGTTTTTTCATTAAACTGATATGAAATTTCGTTTTAGCATCTCGAGAGAACCCTAAATATAAATTTTTGTTTGAATTTAAATTTATATATTTTTTTTTACTCCTAAATTTTTTCCGATTTTTAAGAAATCAAAGTCTGTAAGCAAAGTAGGTCAGAAAATAGTCAACACTTGGATTTGACCTCATTCTCGTGATTCTATAAAACCCTTAGATTATTGGTCTTTTCTTTCAAATGGTTGGTGGTACAAATGGTTCAAATGGTATGTTTGACATGTAAGAGGCGAAAAAATGAATTTATACAATGATACAAACTTTAGATTCAATCAAAGTATTTGTACACACGTGTACACATTTTGAGTGAGTACAAATACTTTTATGAATCTAAAATTTCTAAAATTGTATAAATTTATTTTTTCATATCTTTCATGTATTTGTATAATTTAAAAAAATGTTTATAAACCCAAGGGCCTGAAGATGATCTCAATAAATATCAAAACGATGGCACAATAAAGAAAATGTTTTTCTAAACCTACCTCACACCTGACCGCATCTCACAATCTCCAATACATAAATAAATACATATATTTGTGTGTGTGTGTGTGTGTGTGTGTGTGTATGTGTGTGTGTGTAACAATGTACCGTTGTCATAATCGTGTGAGAATCTGATATTGTGGAGGCAAGGTCAGATAAGATATGAAATATGAACATTACCGGAGAAAGTTAATAATGTTAAATAGTGAACAAATGTAAATAAAGTACTTAAAAAAATCTATTAATTTGCAGGTATATTTTTGTATGTAAACAACATAAGCATATATTGTATATTATAAAACTAATTCTGTAAATAAATGAACATTTTCAGGAATACATTGATTTTGTCCATATCTAAATCCAGTGACATAAGCAATCGATTTTAATTTCCAAAATGCCACTAGATGAGGATAATATGTATGGTTTTCGTCTCATATATGATAAATTTGCTCTAGATGATATTTTAATTTTTTCAAAAACATTTGAAGAACATTTAAAATATATAGATTTTTTGCTTCATGTTATCCAAGAAGAGGGTTTAAAACTAAAATTAGAGAAACATTGCTTTTCAAAGAACTTTGTACAAATATTTAGGCCTTGTATTGAAAAAAATAAAAAAATGAAATCAGTCCACTCAATAACAATCTGAAAGCTCAGAAATCAAAAAAGAATCCTTTTTAAAAAAGATGGTTCCTACTCACATTAAATTAATTAATTAAAACTTAATGTGAGTAGGAACCTTCTTTTTTAAAAAAGGATTGAACTCACACTCACCCCATCATTTATAATTTCTATCAAAAAAGAATGTATGCCAGTTCTTAGGACACATTAATTTTTATTACAAATATTTGGAAATGCAGTAAAAGTACTTGAACCATTATATGATTTATTAAGGAAAAATGTTTCTTTCTGTTGGTCAGATTCTTGTGCGAAAGCATTCCAAACTGAATAACAGATTTATGTTCTACTCTTATATTTGAAATATACAACTTTAAGAAGCCAGTATATATCTTCACTGATTCTACTGGTGAAGGATTTGGAGCTGTGTTGAACAACCAAAAGATAATAATCAAACTAAAACCTGCTCAAAATAAAAAAGGCATTCATTTAGAGCGTTTAGCCATTAAAGAAGCTATATATATTGGCAATATTGTTTGATAGGAAGAGAGTTGTGTGATTAAAGACCATAAACCTTTACAGAACCTTTAAATTAAAGCTAGAACAAATGAAGAATGAGGGGATCTTGTGCATTATCTGTCACAATACAACAAACTAATGTACCATTCAGGAAAAGAAAATGTGGAAGCTGACTTCCTATTCAGGAGTGAGAAAAACAATGAAGATGTATTACAAGTTGTAAATTTCATGACAATGCATGAAATTTGGGCTGACCAACAAGAACATGAAGAAATACTAAGAGACCAGCATACAGAAAAGAAAGGAGAAATATTTTTCAAGAACCTTCACGGCAATCAACGAATTTTTCTTTCTCAGATGTTAGGCCAAAAATTGATTGAGAAAATCCATAAGTAATTTGGATATATGGGGGCCTAACTCACATTATCAGTTTTGAACACATTACTACTTTTTAAATTTGGTTAAAATGGTAACAAATTGCAATTCATGCCAAATATTTAGGAAAAATAAAATAAGAACAATCAGGTTAGGTTGCTTTCCCATTTGGATCCGACAAGTACACCATACAAAATTATGTCAATCGACACATTTGTGGATTTGGTGACAATAGTTCATCGAAACGATATCTCCATATATTAGTTGACCACTTCAACAATCGCGTTTATATCTATCTCAAGTGGACAAAATGCAATATATTTTATAAGTCTTGTGATCCGGTACTCAAGAAGAATAAGATTAAAATACTACTGGCCGACCAATAAGTAGCAAGTAAGTTTACAAGTTTCAAGAATATTGCTTCAAAAGGTGTTTCCCTACTTTTTACTTCAGTAAATTGTCTACAGTCTAATGGACTTAATGAAAGACTTCATCAGACATTAGTATATTGTATATATTGAATATGTTTACTACGTTACTGAATACATTACATGAATCGGACATTGGAAGATTTATTTAAATTCTCTTTGCAGATGAGGTGAAAGTTGGCCTCAGATCTTCAGATGGGCGTATTTTCATATGGAGATGCTCAGGATTAAGGTACGCCCCATATTGTATGGTTCCTCAGGTGGCAATCGAGGATGAATCATTGATGTTCTAGGGTGGCAATTTTTTTAGACAACCACACCAAATGTTGTGTGAGGAGGAAGAGCTCCAACTACACAAAGTTCTTTCAACACATAATCGAAGAACATGTAGTGCCATTACCCCGCACTTCGATGACTACCTGAATGAGGTTGGAATTGAGTGAATTGGTGTGGTCAGCTCGGAGTCCAGATTTGAACCAAATCGAACACATTTGGGACCATCTTGCACGAGTACAACGGCGAAACCCTGGTCCTAACACCCTAGACAAGTTGGAAACGGCTGTTCTTGATGAATGGGAAAGAATTCATCAGGATTTTATCAGTAGTATTTTCAAAGAAATGCAAAGGCGTTTCAACAGATGTGATTCATGCCAGAAGTGAAAATAGTAGTATTAAAGGGGATAAAAAAGTTTTTTCTTTACTTTCTTATTAGTTTTTGAACTTTCTGTTTTTTGTTCTTAATTCAATTTTTTTAGAACTAATAATTTTTTGTTTTCAAATTCTTATTTTTATAATCAAACCTATTTTTGCTATGCAAATATGTATAAACGTAAATACATTAAAATGTAAAAGTGGTGCATTTATTTTGTCCTCGGTGTATTAATAAAAAATTATGAAATTTAATAGACAAATAATTAATTATTATCTAATAATTCTAATGCATTGAAATAGAAGAAATGAATTTTTTTACAAGAAAATGGCACATTTCTCATTGTTTTTAAACTGTTTGTTGTCGTCTTGTAAAGCGGCCAAATAAATTAAAATATCGCCTGCCTTTTTCTTTGTTTTCTTCCTGTTTATATATAGGATAGAAGCTAAAAATAAAATATTGTATTGTATTTACCTCTTGAGATCCGTCGGAGAACCCCAGCCCTTGATGAAATATTTAGATAGAAGAATGCTCCTGTATATTTTGTCGAGGCTACTCAAGTGGACCATTATTTTAGCGAATAATGTAAAAACATGCTATTTAATCGGACGGTTTCATTAATTTATTTGGAAATTTCAAGGTATGCTTAGTCTTAACAACGGGACAACAAGCATTGTCAAACCTTCCGGCCTTCAGAACCAGCACGCATAGACCGTCTGAGCGCGCAAGTCACGCTGTAGACTCGACGAAACCAAATTTGTCACAACGTCACTTTGGATAACTACAGCAAAAACGCGCACTTTAATCACCAAGTAGGAATGAAGAAAGGTAGTTTTGAAAATCGTTTTTTTGAATTTTATTAAATACTCGTAAGTTTTGGCAGGCTATTAAAACTGAATCCAGGAATATAAACGCGCATAAATGTGAACGTAAAATCGTGCCTAATGAAATCTGCAAAACTGTCTAAACTATAATTAAAATATTAATTTATGAACATATGTATTTTGAACTATTACTATGGAAAAAATCAATTAATTGTGTTGTAAATTACTATAATATTTTAGTAACGTAAAGACAGTGAGCGAGTGCTGACGTTTTTTCTCGCTCTCCTTCTGATAAAATACTTTTTAAAAATCTAAAAATAGAGTTGAAAACATAAAGAAACTCTCTCATAAAGAAACTAAATATGGAAAATTTAACAGCAGACGCAAAAACCGACTATTCGTTATGCAAAGCCGCATTAAAAAATTTTCTAAAACCTACATCACACCAGCCCGCATCTCACGATCTCCAAATATTCATTGACTAACGGTCACTAAACACGACACATTAAAATTAAATAAACTTATCATCCAAATTCCCCCACTTAGAAAAAAAAGGCTCATGAACAAGAGATAATAAAGATAAATGTGTCTTTCTTAAGTGACCTGTTAATTTGTTCAAATGGTGAGGAGCGGACAAGAGTGAGGTAGTTTAGATAAACACCTTTTTCATATTTTTGCCGACGTTTCGACCTTTATTGGGGGCATCTTCATAAATTACATCGGATTTGTAGGCTGTTGGTGTTGGGTCTTTGATTATCGAAGAAAGTGTATGTACTGTTTTATGGTTTTTAAAAGCTATTTTAATGTGATCTCTCCTCAAAATGAGTTAAATAAAACCGCCTATGATCAAAGTAATTTTCCCAGATTTACTCCCACTCTGTCACAATCATTTAAAAACAGCAGAATTCAAATTCATATTTCACAATTTCACACGAAGCAAATATGACACCACAAGAATAGCAACACACTTTATGTGAGCATAAAATACTTGGTTCAAAATTTATATTTACATCTTAAATTGTATTTTTTCCAAACAACGTATGTTTTGTAATTTACCCATGCCCAGATGATCGTCCTCACGACTTCAACAAATTAATAAAGATAAATTTAATACGTTTACATTTCATTTGATAGAAACGTTTAAACCAAAAGACGACAACCCCTACGAAAAAACAGAATAAGTTATTAAACATTTTACCCCGAAGTAAATACCCAAAGAAATAAAAACTAATATAAATTCTAAGAAAGCTCCAGGAATCGACCTGATAACCGGAGAAATTTTTGAAAAACTTATTAATTTTAAATGTGTGGTGATTAGTGACCGTTAATCGATAACTATTCAGAAATCGTGAGATGCCGTCTGGTGTGTTTTTATGTGTTGTCTGCATTTCAGCAAAAAAGTTCTCTGGTTGATAGCCGATGCGAGTTTCTTCTCATTGTTGGCGATGTCCTTCAGAATACTTTTAGCTGCGTGTCCATATGTAGTTGAAATTTGTTCATAGAATCCCACCCATGTCCTTCGTTCTTCTCGTGTAGAAATGTGTGGTGATTAGTAACCGTTAATCGATAACTATTCAGATATCGTGAGATGCGGCCGGGTGTGATGTAGGTTTCAGAAAAACATTTTCTTTATCGTGCCAACGTTTCGATCTTTATTGAGATTATCTTCAGGGCCTTGTGTTGTCTGCATTTCAGCAAAAAGGTTCTCTGGTTGATAGCCGATGCGAGTTTCTTCTCATTGTTGGCGATGTCCTTCAGAATACTTTTAGCTGCTGTCCATATGTAGTTGAAATTTGTTCATAGAATCCCACCCATGTTCTTCGTTCTTCTCGTGTAGAAATGCGTGGTGATTAGTGACCGTTAATCGATAATTATTCAGAAATTGTGAGATCACACCAGACCGCATCTCACGATTTCTGAATAATTATCGATTAACGGTCACTAATCACCACACATTTCTACACGAGAAGAACGAAGAACATGGGATTCTATGAACAAATTTCAACTACATATGGACCCGCTGCTAAAAGTATTCTGAAGGACATCGCCAACAATGAGAAGAAACTCGCATCGGCTATCAACCAGAGAACGTTTTTGCTGAAATGCAGACAACACATAAAAAAACCACACCAGACCGCATCTCACGATTTCTGAATAATTATTAATTTTAAAACTGAACTTTTTTTAGGGCCAACAAACTACATTGGTCAACGCCAGCCCTCGTACTTAGCAATTTATTTTTCAGATTTTCCAGCAGAGTTACGATATTTTATGGTACAACTCACTTTTCTTTTTCATATTACTAGCCTCTCTGTACCTCAGGGCCTCTTATGTGAATAAAATAAGACAAATATCAAACACAAACACACAGAAACAAGATAAAAACATGATCATCTGGTTAGCAATCACACTACCTAAAAGTGCTCGATATTGCTCGGAGTAATTGGGGATACACCCTCCACGCTAATTGTTACGGCCAATACCGTGGAAAGAAAAAAAAAATGAAAAAGGTAATGAAAAGTTAATCAAATAAATTTATGGAAAAATCCAAAATTTAAATAAATGACGGGAGAGATTTATAAGGGACTTACCACCTACCCTCAAATGACGGCTGCACGAAGATTAGGGGCTCGGGCCCGATTCCCCTGACCCCGCCGCAGAATATCAGATGATTTCAGGTGGAAGAGAAAGATGTTGAAGAACAGAGGGTTTTCGGAGAGTCGCGTGATTTTAGATCTTTTTAATTAATAAGGGACAGAAAAATACGAGATTAAACAGAGACGTAAGGGCACTTTCTGTCAAAGGAGCAGGACTGGGACTGTAAGGAACGTGGTAATTGGATTACAGATTGCAGAAATCCAAAACAAAGCATATTTCTACAATAAGATGGCTGGCGCCAATACTAATTAATTACTGATTATTTAAGTTGGGCGCACACTAGGTCGGTGAAGCGGCGCGGCACGGAACGGCGCGGCGCTGGTCGGAATTGTGAAGGTCCTCACACTATGTAGAAACAATTAATTAAGGTTTTTAGTTGAGATAAAAGAGTCAATGGCACGAGCGGGATTCGAACCCACGATCTTCGGCTAGATAAGCCGCTGCTCTACCACTTGAGCTATCGTGACCTCGATCCACTCGGACGCCAACTTCCCATCTCAACCCCACCTTTTGAATTTTCCCTCCTTTAGAACTATGTAGAAAGTAGGAACCGCTCTTGATCGCGTTGGTCGAATTTTCCCCCTCCCTCTGACTAGCGCTGCGGTTTAGTGTTGATTTTGCATTTGCAGCAGTCCCCACGTTACAATAATTGTATTCGTAATAAATAGTAGTAATGAGGAAATTATTTTTCTGGTCGCGGTCGCAGAGTTGGAAAAGGAGGAAGAAAGGCAGAAACGAAAACGAAAAGCTGGGTACATACATGAAATAAACATCAAAACGGTAGAGTTGCTGCCGGAGTTCTGATACTGTGCACTTCGTGTCTGCAAAACATTAATGAATTTATATATTTTAACTGTAAATTAAAAACTGAAATTTGGTATGGTGTACATTTGAAGTGATTGCGATATATCTGTGAAGTTTCGGTCATTTCTGTCGAACAGATTTGGAGTGATTTGAAAAATTGTTTCGGCGACGGAAAGAATTGATTAGGAAGATTTGGCAGGTGTCTTGCCGACCTGGAGTGTGAGAACTCATGCACACGCTAGGCATACTGTTTACTTGTTTTTGAATGGAATCGACGGAACAACACAGTTCTCTTCCTTTGGACATCTGTTTACGTTTTGTTCTTCTTTAAATAACAGATTACAGGTATTTCGCGTTTTTTGTTGTATAACCCATCTGTTTTTTTCGATTATATGAACAGTAAAGAAAGGAAACTGGAAGATTCTTTTACATCAAGGGTAAAGAGAGTGAGAAGCTAGTCGTCACCGGAAGGGCTAGAGGAAAATACTGTTAAAAAAAGAAGGACAATTGTGAAAATATGGGTGATAAATCAACAAACAAAGTCAAAATATGAGATTTGAAAGCAAGTTGAATTCACTCGCAACCAAGGAAGATATTGAAAGTATTAATAATAATTTTGGCGAAATCCGGAAAGAAATTATATCTGTTAAGGAAAAAGTAAAGTCCCTAAAAAAGGAGAAAAATGAGCTGAGAGAGAAGATCATTGAAATAGTAAAGAGAAGCAGATTTAAGAACTTAAAATTTAAAGGAATGCCTACGGGATTGTCAGGAGAAGACAGTGAAGGAGCTGTGTAACAAAGTTTTAGAGATAGGGGAACCTATTCTCATTAGCAAGGCCTTCAACATCGGTAAGCAGAATGGTCCACAAGCAGCACTATTAGTTGAGTTCGCACTGGCTAACAAACAAGAAGTTGTCAGTTCAGAATACAAAGACCTTTTTTTTTAAAATGTGTTTATTTCTTTTGAAACGTACAAGAGTAGATTAAAAAGTTTGAAAGTGTTGAGACTCGAGTAGTACGGCGGAAGATAGAGCGAGGTGGACGAAACACACGGATTTATATAGGGTGCTGATGCTGAGGCAGATAAAGGCAATTCTTTCAATTCTTAACTCCTCCACCCCAAGTTCAAGCTCACCTATGATGTTTCGGTAACGTTTAACGATATGTTGGAGCTGCTGATGTCGTTCGCTACTTCTTTATGAGATAAGATACTGAAATGAATAATATTGTACTTGCAGTACTCTAGACTTGTTAAGTCAACAACTTTATTTAAAAGCAAAATAAGCTCTTGAGATTGCTGATTAAGTTCTAACATTTTGACTCGTACGTAAGATGATAAATAAGTAAAAAATAAAATGATTGCTGACCTTTAAATTATTAAAACGAATGAGTTGGATATCTTTATTAAAGTTTTTTGTTAATTGGTTATTAACTGACAGTTGATTTTCTACACCATTCATTGGCTTGAACTTTTTCCAATTTTTTGTCATATTTTACCTTGTCATTTACGTCCATATTTCCAGTAAGACAAGAAATAGCAGTGCCTAGACCGTTAATAAGTTCTATGTTTTTTAACGAACAGATAGTCGAGTTTTGTTTCTGTCTGACTTTTTAACAGTTATAACATACTTACATGACATTACTTATCTCTTCTTGATGATTCTTCTCTTCTGATTTTTTGTAGTTAATTATTGAAACAAATTTTTGATATTAACCTGTTCGATTTGTGAAATTTTTGTATTAACGTTATGCATGTATCATTACAACAAATGAGTCTTTCGAGGATTGGAAAAAGCAGGAGAAACATTTTGTCCTGAAATCAATTTTAGTTTAGGTATTTTTTGGAGCCTTTTGGTACGGTTTGGGTGTATTTTCATATTTCGTTTCTAAAAAAAAGTGATTGATCGTTCCTAGTTTCTACACTTATATTACGTATTTCACTTTAAAATATTTGAGTTTGTGTTTTTTTATGATTGAAGTTGTTTTCAGATAGGATTCTTCAAG